ATCCGAACCCGGACCGCCAGCAGCGGAGCGTGAATACTTAACCGCTAGGCCATGGGGCCGGCCCCCAGCATAGCTTTGTTTTTCTTTTTTTTTTTTTTTTGTGAGGAAGATCAGCCCTGTGCTAACATCTGCCAGTCTTCCTCTTTTTTTTTTGCTGAGGAAGACTGGCCCTGGGCTAACATTCGTGCCCATCTTCCTCCACTTTATATGGGACGCCGCCACAGCATGGCTTGCCAAGCGGTGCGTTGGTACGCGCCTGGGATTTGAACTGGCGAAGCCTGGGCCTCCACAGTGGAGCGTGCGCACTTAACCGCTTGCACCACCAGGCCGGCCGCCCCCCCCCCCCAGCATAGGTTTTAAACCTTACATTTTTGCAAGCTTTGAAATATGTCCAAATAAGCCTTTTTCTGCTCCGCACATATTTCTACCATCATCAGCTGTAACATCAGCTCAGCCAATTCCCACTTTAGGTTATATTGAACTAGTGATTTCTCATCTTTAAAAATATTCTCACCTGTAGCTCTATGCAGACCATTCATAGAGGCTAACTCGTCAGTCTCTTCAAACTTGTCATTGACTCTTGCATAAACAACTGAGCAGTATTGGTAACATTTTTTGACTCATCAAGAACCAAGGAAAATCATTCGCCTTGGTTTTAATTGACTATTGATATTGCTCCCAGTGTTCTCAACTCTTCAAGCAACCATTCTCACCCAAAGGCTAATAGTCTTAAATAAGTTTATTTTCTCAGGACGTATTTCTTCCAGAGAAATTAACTCACCATTGGTAAACAGCTTTCCTTGTTTAGCTAAAGAATGAGCTACTCATACTTTAAAAAAAAGCACAACATTCAAAATCCAGTTTTCTCTCTTTTTTTAACATGAATATGCACTAATAATTTTTTAAAAATAAAATGTCACGTTATGTTGATACGTATGGCTCTAGAAAAGAGATATAAAAGTGTAACTGCAGTCTGTCGTGCAAAGTGATGACAGTGCCACATCCTGTCTCTGTGGCAACTATTTAATTCAGCCGTTGTAGCAGGAAAACAGCTATATACAATATGCAAACAAATGAATGTGGCTGTATCCCAATAAAACTTTCTATTATGGACACTGATTTCAATTTCATATAATTTTCACAATCACATTCTTCTTCTTTTGCTGTTGCTGTTGTTTCAAACCACTTAGTAATGTAAAAACCATTCTTAGCTCATGGCTCACACACAAACAGGCAGCCAGCCATAGTTTGCCAACTCCTGCTGTTGAAAAAGAGAAAATGAGCTTTATTCACATTCCTCACAATTGAATCAGATTGTTTGTTTTTTCCAATATCTAATGAGGAAAAGCTGCAACCTCAAGTAAAGTAGAAAGGATAATTTTTGGAAACTATCAATAAAATAGTCAAGCATCTGACAAGTTTAATTTAGAAAAGAAAGAAAACATTTAAAATGTTACATAATAAGAAATAGGGAGTTTTCCTAATTACGAGAGAAAACTATGTATAATTATATATTAATAAATTGAAAATTTTGATGACATAAGCAATACAGAGAAAAAATATGGATTTACAGATAGAACAGAAAATTTGTGCTTCAAAGAAAAGCTGTGCAGCGTTAAGAGCAAGAACCTTCTGGGTTCTGATTCGGACTGGAGAGAGGCTTTGCACCTGTTATGGCCTTGGAGCTACTTTGCAACTAAGTCGTAGATACCCGATAGCATGCAAATAATTCTTGTCCATAGACAAATGCAAATAAATAAATAAATTCTGTTGGGTAGAAGTTCAGCTCACTTCCCTCCTGACTGTGGAAGAAGTCAGTTTTATATCCATTTATAAATTCATTTCAACATTCCTTTACTCCAAATCCGTCCTTCTTTGACTTCTCCTTTGAATTGATTGTAACATCTTCTCAGTTCCCTCATTGAGTTTTAAAAAATGCTTAACGCATTCATTTTATATCTATCTTTATGAGTCATTTCACTTTGGTGGAATTATCCTTTAACACAAACAACAAAGGACGATATAGAAAAAAAGAAAAAACATCTCCAAAAATTACCTGGGACACTTTCAAACCTTTAAGGAGCAGAGTCTCTCTGACACAGAAGGCAGAAGACTGTTCAGTCTTATGATCTGACTCAAACAACCCGGGAGAGCCAGTACCGAGGGCCAACCACCTCTAGGCAGGCAGCTTCCAACCCGGCTGAGCATCGGAACTGCCTGCGGTGCGCTCGTGAGACACCTGCGCCGACTCCGCCCATCTGCCGAAGCACAAACCACAGCCGCCGGGGACGAAGTCTGGCCTTCTGCTTGTAACAAGTTCCACAGGAAGTGCTAATGAGGACTAGTCCTATTTTACAGATGAAAGAACTAAGGCCTAGAGAGGTTTCTCAACACTGTTGGAGCATAAAACAGCTTCTTCACACTGTCCAATGTCTGGGCCCTCCTCCCTCCCACCGCTCTCCCCAGCCCATATCTAAGTTACCTAGTGCTTGAGGCCTTAGAGGTGAATGAGGCCGGCAAATGTAAAACTGCGATGACACTGCCTCCTAGTGGTGGAGTGTGGCAAACATCGCAGCAAACAGCCTTACTGGTTTCCTTTTATCGGCAATTTTCTTAACCCAGCTCTAATTTCTCCCCCATAGGGAAAGCCCAACCCTTTCCTCATCATTGAAACCAAAAACCTAAGGGGAAGAGCGAGGCTTCTTTATACAGAACTGTATTTAGAAGGCAAGAGTATTTGCTGAGAATGCCAGACCCCGCACCAAAAAATGGAAACAAAAGTTTGCTGTGAATAAAAAAAAATATGAAAGCTTCCTTACAGTACAATACTAATAAAGGGAATAATGGATAAAATATCATTAATGGATACCAAAGCAGTTAGTGAAAAGCTGATAAAGAACAGAATATTTAGCCTCAAAGTATCTCCTGACACCTTAACTACAAAGGGGGAAAAGAGGAACTTTACTGTGGAGAAAGTGGACAGATGCACCTTAATCCTAGGGCTCAGAGTAAATGTGACACTAAAAATGTAACACACTAATATTCTGTGCCTCTCAACATGATGTACCAAGAACACAGTATGATTTCTGTGGTATTCCGACAGGAAAAGCTAAATTACATTTGTGAGGAAACATCAAACCCAAATTGAAGGACATTCTGCTAACTCAGTCAATACTTTTAAAAAATGTCAGTCATGAAAGACATAGGAAAGAGGCTAAAGGGACATGAAAACTAGATGCAGTCAGTGATTCTGGGTTGGATACTAGACTAGGAAAAAAAAATTAACTACAAAAGACATTACTTGGAAAACTGGCAAAATTTTATTATGGACTATGGATAATAGTGTTGTATCAATGTTAAATTTCCTGATCTTGATCATTGTTCTTCGTTTACGTAAAAGACAGTGTTTAGGTGTTTATGTACTTGCTGGGCTCGGCCTGGTGGCTTAGTGGTTAAGTTCGCACACTCTGCTTCAGCAGCCCGGCATTTGTGGGTTCAGATCCTAGGTGCAGACCTACACAGTGCTTGTCAAGCCATGCTGTGGCAGCATCCCACATACAAAATAAAGGGATTGGCACAGATGTTAGCTCAGGGCCAAACTTCCTCAAGCAAAAAGATGAAGATTGGCAACAGATGGTAGCTCAGGGCCAATCTTCCTCAACAAACAAAAAAGTAAAAAAAGAGAATGTCTTTGTTCTTAGGAAACAATACACTGAAAACCTTGGGGCAAAAGAGCATGTCTCTAACTTAACCTCAATGGATCTGGGGCAAAACGTGAACAATTGGTAGACCTGCATAGAGTATTTGGAAGTTCCTTGTACTATTCTCTTAACTTTTCCCCAAGTTTGAAATTATATCAAAACTGTTACAAAAGATTTAGAATGTTTGCCCTAAGTATCTGCCTGACAGATGTGCAAGGATCAGTGGCGAGCCAGACTGACCTGGATTGTGCTACTTCCTTGTGGAGATGTTGACACATGCGTGTGCACAAACATGCCCAGCTCAGTCCCAGCATGAAAAAAGTAGACTAGTGCGTGAAACACGCTGCAACTCAATAGCTCCTTCTCCCACTACTCAAGAACGTGCCAGCCCAGTCCAGCACGCTCCCCAACAGACACAGATGGAGCCATAGCCTCGGGCTTCTGAGCCATCAACCCAGGACCCAGCTAGTGAGCTCTGCTTCCATTTTTTTTTTTTTTTGTGAGGAAGATCAGCCCTGAGCTAACATCCATGCCAATCCTCCTCTTTTTGCTGAGGAAGACCGGCCCTGAGCTAACATCTATTGCCAATCCTCCTCCTTTTTCTCCCCAAAGCCCCAGTAGATAGGTGTATGTCATAGTTGCACATCCTTCTAGCTGCCGTATGTGGGACGCCGCCTCAGCACGGCCAGACAAGTGGTGCGTCGGTGCACGCCCAGGATCCGAACCCGGGCCTCCAGTAGCAGAGCTCACGCGCTTAACTGCTAAGCCACCGGGCCGGCCCTTCTGCTTCCCTTTAAACCAACTAAGACATCCCCTTGTTTCACTGATCCTCCCCTACACATCCATTCACACCTGTTGAATCTCCTATGCTCCAGGTACTGGGCTCAACACTGGACAAACAGACATCACCCAGCCTAACCCCCACCAACCTTCATATATGAGAATTGTTACCCTTTCAAGGTGGGCAGGTTCATTAGCCCAAATTGTGTATACCTAGGAGAGGCTGAGGAGCAAACACCAAGGGCATGCAGGGTGAGGAGGGGAAAGCATCTCCTGACTTCTGTCTAAAGCCCAAGTGAGTGCTCAGGGCCTGTCAGGATCAGGCAGGGTGGAGCTGGCAAAGCAGTGCTGCAGCTTGCTGGGTTTGGGCCGCTGAATACATTCATGACCTGTACGGGCCCTGCCTAGAGCCCACTTACAGGTGCTCCACTGCAGACTACTCTTGTTCAGGATTTCTCCCTTGAGAAAATACTCCTGCTCTTAGCTCCATCAGCACCCAACCCCACAGAGGACACAGGCAAGGCTGTTGTTCAAGGTTTATTGCAAATATTACAGCACAGCAGAAAGATTCAAACGGCTCCACGTGGGGTTTTGAAATTCATCCCAACTGTAGGCTGAGTGACTTGCAGGTTGGAGAGACTGCCAAAGTCCTGGAACAACAAAATAAGTTCAGTGTGGCTGTACCAGTGAAATCTGTGGTCAGAGCCCCAGCATCACCACCAGGCTGTGCTTATCAGCTTCCACCAGCTTGGTAGAACCCTGCAGAAACCCAACAGAGGGCCTTCTCCTCCCTGCCCCAGAGCAAAATGGGGTCTACTTGGGATCTGAAGGACCCTGCATTCCAAAAGTCAACCATTAGAGGCCTGTCCTATGCATTGTAGGTTGTTAACAGAATCCCTGGCCTCTATCCACTTATGTCTGCTAATATCCCCCAGCTGTGACAACCAAAAATGTGTCCAAACATTATTACAATGTACTCCCCCCCCCCGGGGGGGGGGGCAAAAATCTGTCCCTTGAGAATCATTGCTCCAGGGCATATACAGTGCCACCTCCTCTCCAGGACTAGCCTCAAGTAGGAGGCATCACTAATGCAAACATTTGTGAAGGGCTCAGGTACACTGGTAGGAGGAGGACAAGATCAGGGCCTGCCTTTAAGCCGGCTCAGTCTAAGTGAACAGGGCAAAGAACCCAAGGGCCCACCACATACCTGGAACTTAACATCCCATTTGATCCTCAAAAATCAATTTTAAAGTTGAAACTAAAAAGCTACATGCAGGATAGTGGTTATTTCAGGAGAAAATGATCCGTAGCAGCCTTTAGCTGTACTGGTAACGTTTTTCTGAAGCTGGGTAGTGGGTACATGGGAGTTCATTCTGTTCATTATCTTTTTGAATGTCTTAAACATTTTATGATCATAAAAAGGGGAAAATGAAGTTGCTCTAAATCACCAACTGCCTACTGGACTTTGAAGCCCATGCTACTTTCACCGAGCTGTGTAAAAATACTAAGATAAGCCACAGAAGAGACACATTATCAAACTGTATTGAAGGCAGCTGACCTATCTGAGTAGTGCCTAGTATTTGGAAATGAGACCTCAGCTCATTTGAGTGGTTAGCATACAGACAGAGAAGGAATGAAGGCCCGAAGGAAAGCAGGCAGAATGAAGGGAGACCCAGGGCTGGAACCAAGGGGGCAAAGTTGAGGAGTTAGCCATAGAGCCAAGAAGAGAACGGAAGGAACCAAGAGAAGGGGTGTCCTGGAAGTCATGGGAGAAGAGCCGCTGGATTTGGGAATTATCTTCTTGTGGAGAGCAATCTCAACTTTCCATAACCAACTAAACCTATTTTGGAGGCACTCTAGTTTAGTGATTAGAGGTGTAGATGGCATTTCCAACGCTGCTACTTACTAATCTTGGAGTTACCATTTCCTCATCTATAAAATGCAAATAACAGAATGTACCTCCTGGGCTATTATGAGGATGAAAAGAAAAAAGAAACGGAAGGATTCAAGAAGTGTTAGCTACTATCATTATAAATAGTAGAAAGCTATTGCTGATTCTTGCTCAAGGAAGTCCCACTATAGGAATTTAGCAGACACTTACCAAGAGTTTGAGCATTTCCTTAGTGTCAGGGTCTACTTCAATGATCTCCTGATCCAAGGCTGAGACCTAGAAGGTACAAGGCAGACTCAAAACATCAGTGAGCTCTCACCTTCCCTGCCTTTTCTCCAAGATTCTTAAACAAACAAACAAAAGGGGGGGGGGGTGGAGAATAGGATAGGACCCCACAAGGTGAGCAGTCTGTTTCACTATTACCGGCCCCAAGAATCAGTTCTTCTGGTTTTACCTTTGCATGCCCTCATTATTATCTAAGCAGTATTCAGAAAAACTTAAGACTAGGTTTATACTGCAGGAATACTATGCTAAGGTAAACAATCAAACCACAAGACATGACTGTAGTCATCAAACATCATTAAGGGCTCTCGTGAAAAACAGAATGGACTTAAATGGTCCCAACAGGGCAGAACAGAATCTAACCTACAGACAGGCAGATGATGGGCACCTACAGCTGGTTAAGGGGTATATGGATAAAGGACCTCCTTCTCAGACTCGGCTGAGGTCCCTTTGGAAACCAGCTGCCTAAAAGGGTTCTCGGGAACCTGTCTCATCTTTCAGGGTGAGCCCGAGGCCCAGAGACAGACCCAGAAAATTTACCTCAGGAACATAGTTATCTCTCCTCTCTCTCTCCTCCTCCTGCAGCTTGATCGAGATACCTCTCACAGGGCCCCTCTGGATCCGCTTCATCAGGTGTGTGACATAGCTGCAAAGGACCAACGCCCACGGAGAGCAGTGAGCGCCCACGTCAGCTGCCACCAGCACACGGGGCACCTGGGTTCTAAGCGGCGGTTTTCGTTTCGCCCACAGTGAGAAGCGCGAGGGCTCGTCAGCCCAGAAGCCCTGACGGACCCTCCTCCACACACAGACCTCCACAGAGCTCTGCCTGCCGCAGACAGGCACACCTGTCCCCCTGCTCTCTCTCAGGCCCTCTCCATTCAGAGACTCTTTCAAAGCCGTCAAATCCTTCCTCCGAGTTCCAGTTCACTTCATGGAGCATTTAATCACGCTGGCCTGTACCGTCCTGAATATCAGTCTCCCAGAGGTCTGACTACGGCTAAACCTCGGCAACAGCCACGCCAAACACAGCGCGAACGTAGGGTAACCTGACGGAACGCCTGCAAACACTGTCGCTGTCGGGAGACTCGCGCTGACGGGACCGCCGGGACAGTCTCCTCCGGCGTCGGAGGACGGCAGACGCCACAGCCCCGCGCTCCCGCCTTCCCCCAGGCCCCGAGGCCGAGCGCCTCCACTCACCCTGCGATCTTGTTGCGGAGCTTCTTGCTGGGAATAATGGCGATCTCCTCGCACACGCGCTTGTTGGTGTGGAAGTCGTTGCCCAGGCGGGTGTAGTACTTCTCAATGATGACCCGGGCCGCCTTCTTCACGGTTTTGGTGCGAACGCGGCCCTGCAGGTGGAGAAGACAGGGTCACTCGCGAGCCAGGACATCCCTCCTTGGAAGAGTGCAGCGTCACGCTCTGACGAGAACGGGCTCGCGGGCTGGGACTGAGCCCGGGAGGAGGAGAGGGTCGGCCGGGCAGTGCGGGAGCGCGGGGTCAGCGTGGAAGCCAGAGGCCTGCGGAGGCTCCGGCTTGACAGGGCCCCGCGCCCCCTGGCCCACAGCCTCTCCTTGCGGGCTCAGGCCCGCAGAAAGTGGCGGATGGAGGACGATTGCGGGCGACCACGGCCTAAAGCCAAAACACCTACCATGTTGGCGGGTAACTGGTAAAAGAGGAAACAGGAAGCACAAGAGAGGCCTATAAAGCGCAGGCCAGAAAGCCGCTTCCTCCTAGCCTGGTACGCTCTGAGCTAACGCGAGAGCACCACAACGACCCCTGGCGGACCGGGGACGGAAGTGGAGGCAGCGACCGCACCCAGTGGGCGGGGCGAACTTCTGGCCCGCTCCCGGGTGGGCGGGGCGAACTTCTGGCCCGCTCCCGGGTAGGCGGGGCTCCTCAGTTTCCGCTCCCCGCCCCGCTTGGGGCGCGATTCTCTTGGCCGCTTCGCGCTGTGACCTGATCGCCCGTTTGAGGTAGTCTAGACTAGGAGAGGTGCATCTTTTCCACACGCGCCAGGGAGACGGAGGGAAGCTTCGAGTCCTTGGGAAGGCGATTTGGGAGCTTGGAAAGGTAAGGAAGTAGAGGATGGCGCCCTACCCAGGACCCCCACCCAGTCCATGGGTCCGAGACTTGTCCGTCCAGCCTCTCGGAGACGCGGGTACCACTGAGAGGCTTACATCATTTCTTCTGGGTCTCGGCTCAAATGTCACCTTGTCAGAGGGACTTTCCCTCAACTTACATAAAATAGCACCACTCTCTTTTTAAAGCTGCTCTGATATTTCTTAGCACTTGCCAGTGATTTGTCTTAGTTTTCTCAACTGGGGAGGAAGGGCCGTTTTTACTTAGCTAATCCCCAGTGCCTTGAACAGTGCCCAGCACAGAGCAAGCTCTGAAATATTGAAGTCCACCTCTAGTGCTCCCAACAACTGAGGGCGCCTTCTCCACCATCGTGGTCTTCAGGCTGTTCTTCCCATCCCCATTCCTAAATCAGGCTCTTCTGAAGCCACTAGCACAGGTATCCCTGGTGGCCTCACTAGCCTAGGGAGTGCCCTGTCCCATCCCTCCAACTCTGCTCGCCCCAATTCTGCTGAAGCCAAGTCCTAGGCTCCATCTGACTTAAGGAAAGGCTGGCTGGTCTGGTGGGATGAGTTAAGGGGCACAAGGCTGAGCCTCATCCCTCAACTCATCTCCTGGTCACCTTGGCCAATCCAGTCACAGACTCTTTGAACTGACTGGGAATGAAAGGCTGAAAGACTAGAAGTCCTCGCCCTGAAAGTAGCCCCTGGACAAGAGAGTCCAGGGGAGAAGACCTGCCTGTCTGCAGAAAAGGAGAATAAGGGGAGACCACAAGGGAGAGTCCAGCTCTCTGAGCGAGTTGCAGGAGCTCACTTGACTAGCAAACTTCAAATCAAGCTGCTGCCAGCCAGGCCTCAAGTGAGAGATGAGGCATCCCCATCCCCCACGATAATGAGTTCTTGCACCTCTCACAGAAGGGGAGCTTCAGTAATGCAAGGTTCCCTCTGCCTCAGACTAAAATGGAATCTTCCAAAAGATCAGTCCAGCAGCTGGGCCCAGGCATAACCTACCTGAAAAGATCATCAGCAGACCCTCTCACAAATCCTGGGAGCCTGTGAGAAGAAGTCCAGATAATAGGGCTCTCTGAAGAACAGTGGAAAGTAAATTACTCCCTCTCAGAAAGGGACTGAGTCAGCATAGGTGAGTCTAAGAGGACAGGAAGCCTTGCAAGAAGAAGAAACAGGCCCGAGGCTTAGAGGAGAAGACAAGAACAAGTGGGCCATGCAGACAACTGAGCAGCTGTGCCTCAAAGTTTCTCCAAGCTTGGTCTGGGGCTACGAGAAGAGAAGCCCCAAGCAGCTTAGATGTAAGGACTTTTCACACTTGGACTAGAGGTTCCCACCCCCTGGAGAGGCATCTTCAAGGTACATTTGACCACAGAAGTGACCAAGAAATACTTACAAGGGCAAGTCTCCCACATTGCCTCACCATCCACCTGGGCTGGAATCCCATCACAGAAAATCCAAGGCAACATTAGTTTTTACTCTGCAATCTTATTAGCCCACTGCCCTCTTGCTCCCACACCTCTGACACAGAGACAAAACCAGATTTCTGCTGCAACGTGTTTATTATGTGCCAAAAAAAACTACACCACAGCTTACTCCACACATCTGTAGGAGAGTGCAGTCTTGCCTGCATATACTACAATGAGGTAGAGACTTCACACACAGCTTCACAAAACCCACAGAGTAGCTGGGATATGCAACAATGCAACGTCAGCTCAGCAGGAGGGGGGGAGGGGTTATGACACTGGTTCTTTGGCACACAGCTTCTCAAAGAGGGGCAAGTAGTTTTTAAAATAAAAAGAAAAGAAAGAAAGAAAGAAAAAGTCAAGTTTTCAAATTTCAGTAGCATTTCAGTCGACCGCAACTGTTGCTTCATACATTTCTCAAATGAAAGACATAAGGGAAGGGTACTTGTCCCCTCTAAGAGAAAGGGCTCCTGTGAGCCTTCATCTGCCCCCACCAAAAAAGCAGCCCTTTTTATTAGCTCTGTTACAAAAGAAAAAAAGTCCTGTGACTTTGTGATTAAAAACTTCTATCAACCCTCCCCCCCACATAAGTGCAACTTAAGAAGGTGCAATAAACCATTTAAAACTATATACAGCAGCCGCTCAAACACCGTTTATCCGGTCCAGTTTCAAATCCAAAAAAAATTTTTTTTCCTGGTTGCAAATGCCTTGATTCGCAACTGTGAGAAAGTGACCAGCAGTCCCCCAGACACAAATTTGCTATAATGTTAAAAGCTGTCAGGAAAGAAAAAAAATCTCTTGTTCCAAACGACTTAAAAACTGTTTTAAGGAGTGTAAAAAGGAACCGGTAAAAACCCTCGAGCGTAAAATATGAAATATGATTTTGGTTTAAATGAAGAGCAAAGTCTCCTTGTTGTTTACAGTAAAAAACACCAGCTGAACACTCAGTTTATGCCGTTCAGGTGGGGGTTAAATAAATGGAAAGGCACTGTATGGCAACTGCAAGAATGAAACCAATGAGACCTGCACATCATCACCATCAGTATTGCAAGGAATGTAAAAAAGCGCTTTTAATAAATAAACCTCGATGTAGGCATCGTGTCAATACCTTCTGGACACGTAGTTCTTTTTTGCTTTTCATCGGCAAAATGAGGAACTAAAATCTGGGAAAACTACAGAGTCGCTTGGAGGGTGAGCCAGAGGGTCCTTGCCCTGGCACACCCCCGAAAACAAAACCCGACAAAACTCATTGTGCATTAATTAGTGCAGAAACAAAGACAGATTCAGCAAGTGCAAAGGTGACTACGATTTTCCCTTGTCCTCGGGAAGCCAGCTCCCTGGTCGCCAGCAGCAGGGTGGTGCAGGCTGCTGCCTGACCTGCCAGCCTTAGGCGCCACCGGGCAAGGCCAGCTCCTCTAGCTGGAATCTCGGTTCTTCTGGTTCCGCATCAAGGGGCTGTGGTGGCACAGGCCTTCCATGCTGTGCCGCCAGTGCCAGCAGCTCCGGCAGAAGTACTTGAAGCACACCTGGGTTGCGGGGAGAAAATGAGAGAGAAGCCATGCCTGTGTCACCACTAGCCAGAGGGACTGCTGCATGAGCTGCTTAATCTGCTTGAGAGGGAGTGGGAGATTCCTGATGGCCGCTGTGGGGTTAAAGAGATGGTCTCAGGGAACCCTCTCCCCGCTAACACAGAGGCCTAGTCAACCATGGCAAATCCACTGTCTGTGCTTCTGTGGGTACCCCGACTTAAACACGCTGGGTTCCTACTGTGTACAGACTGTGCCAGCTTCCCTCATCCACTTACCACCACAGCTGCTCTTCTAGTCCCCTGCCTTTCTACAGAGTAGCTGTCTCACATGGCTGCTAATATGGGAGAACATTTCAAGACAGTGACTCCAGATCCTAATGCTAGGCAACATGCCTTCCTCTTCACAGTAAGTGAGGTGAGGTGACTGAGTATGTATCTCAGTCTCGGTCCCACTTCCTGCTAGCTGTGTAACCTCAGGCAAGCCACTAACCTCTGAGCAATTATCTGAAAATGAGGATCTGTGAAAGATACACAAAAAAAGCCTGCTAGAAGAGGCTGATCAGAGAAATACTTGTTCTCAGGCTTTATCCAGCAACCTAAACTTACTTCATACCCTCATTTTGGAGCCTCAGTTTATCTACTATCTACCCAGAGACTCTAAACCTGAGGGATAGCACCAGTGCAAAAAACACTAAGCATGGATGGACTGCTGGTGCTGAACAGGCCCCAAACTTCCCCTAATACTGGTCGAAGTAGGGTATAGACCAGCAACACTGGCACCACTTGGAAACTTATCAGAAATACAGAATCCCAGGCCGCATTCCAAAGCCACTGAATCAGAAATCTGCATTCGAACAAGATCCTCAGGTGATGTGCATATACACTGAAGTATGAGAAGCACTGCCCAAACACAGCAGATCCATGCTCCACCACCAGACACATTCAACAACAAGCTGCCATGCTGCTTTCTGCCTGCTTTTGACAACTGTGGGTACACACCAGGTACAAACATCAAAATAGTCCCAAGGTTCAGAAGTAAAGAAGTGGTCCTTGGTAGGTGAAAACCAATCTAGAAGGCCTCAGAGCTAGGAAACAGTGCTCATAGGTACTGCTGACCACCCTCACCCAGGTTCCTATCATCCCCAAAACCCCCTATCAGCAATAGTGCCACACTGCATACCAACATCCCAGGCAAGGAGGAGGCCAAAGTATCAAGACTCAGCTCAATGCACTTTCAAGAGTTTTGGGTCAAGCTATCAAAGCGTGTCCCTGGTCTGACCATCAGCAAACATTACTGCTGCCTCCTCTATGCTCTCTTAGACAACCATGAGGTACCTGAGAACTCCAATACTCTATGTGACAAACGTGGAGTGACAATTTTTAATTGAGGGCAGGGACTTCCTAGACATCTCAGGTGCCCAGGGGACTCACCTGATCTCGACAGAAGAAAGGACCAGGCTGAGAACTGCAGATATGACACAGAGAATCTTCTAGGTAGGGGTCAATCTGAACCTGCACAAAGCAAAATACGAGAATCAAGTGGTTCTTCTCACAAGAAGGCCAAATGGGCTAGAAGAGAAGGGCACATTACTGGGCTATACATATGAACGAGGGACATTTCCTGTTTTAAAGGGGACCTAGACAGAATTATGGGCAGAGAGTACAGACAGAGATCCAGAGGACAGATGCACACACCATGCAAAGCCAGGTCGGCAGCCTCCGCGAATTTATGCACCACACACGTTACTGCCTGCTCTTCTCAGCAAACTGTACCCCAGCTCTCTATCACCCAGCTACAGTTGGGTAAGCATTCAGAGGATGCAGATCTGGTTGGAGAATGGGGAGTCAGGCTACCTAGCCATGCCGGTCAAATACCACAGTGAGGGAAGGTACCCCACACACTGGGGAGGCTCAACAGTCCCAGCTCCCCTCCTCATGAGCGTACCAAGACCAGGCCCACTCACCTTCTTGGTGAACTTGGTGGTTTTGATCTCCACAAAAGCAGCGCTGACTGCTTTCAGGTAACTACGTTGGTTATTGAAAGTCACGCGACCAGATCCTAGGAAAAGCAGAACACACTTACCTTCTAGCCAAATTCTCCCAAATGCCACCTGTCAACACCCAGGAAACTCTGTTTTTAGACCAGTGCTGTCCAATAGAAATATAATGTGAGCTACTTATGTAATTTTAAGTTTTATAGTAGCCACATTTAAGTGAAAAGAAAGTGGCAGAATTTTAATATTTTATTTAACCCAATACATCCAAAATATAATAATTTCAACATGCAGCACTAGCCCCATTTCAAGCACTCAGTAGCCACATTTAGCTGGTGGCTACCATGTTAGACAGCGTAGTTATAGACCATGCTGGGCACAAACCATTCAGGAATGGGGGAAGGATCTGCTGACCAAAATGGGGAGGGAAGAGACTCCTCTGGTGTAGGCAGATGCACAGGTAAGGTTAAAAGGGTTCAGAGTAAGAACCAAGATGCAGATAGAACCCCTCTTTGAAGGCAGGCCCAGCAGTCAAACTGCTCCTGGCCTGGAGGTACTCCAGGGACCTAGCAGGGGAGCTGGAAGAAGCCCCATCCTGCCAAGTGCTGCCTCTGCCCCTGTAGCCTCTGAAGTCCCTGTTCTCAGTCTGTGGCACAGCACTGATGAGCACATGGTGCTCCTTCCTGACCACATTCAGCATGGGTGGGCAGACTAAGCATTGGGGAAGGTGGGTTACTGAGGTCTTGATCAGAAAGTTCAGGCTCTGCTCCACCTCCAAACCCCACCACTGCGACTATTCTGTTATGACTGAGGAATTGACCTCCGTTCTCAGAGGGGCTGACCAAAAAGCCAGTCGTTAGGCCCACAGACTCCCCTAAGCTAGGACAGCATAGGCCATGCCTACACTCTGTTGTCTGAGTCACCCAGCGTCTTCCTTCAGCCTGACCTGGTCTCTGACCCTAGACAAGGCCACTTTTCAAGAACTCTTAATAAAGGAAACCAAGCAACTTCAGCAAAGTCCTGACGTTTTAATGAAATATCACCTGTTGTCTGTCCCAGACTGGCTTGGCTGTGAACTCTGAGCTTCCAACCAAAGTTACTGCTGTCTCATTTGGTCTCCTATCACTTTTTTTTTACCCCCTTCATAGGAGGTGAGGGGAGAGGGGTGGGTGCAGAGGGGTCTGCTGTATCGGTGGCTTATCTAGAAAAAGATGCTATGCTGCTGGTATATGCTGATCTGCAGACCTAGGTCAGGCCTCCCTCTCCAATCCCACAGGGAAGTATCACAATCTTGGTTTATATCCCATGGGCCACCAAGCTTTCCTACACAGAAGTGGGACACTTACCAATGGGATATTTGTGCTTATCTGTGTCAATCCCAGCATACAGCACTCCACCAAATAAGTCGTTCAAAATGGCTGCCAGGGCCTCGGCACTGAGCATGCCGTGCAGAGCACCCACAAACACCGTCCTACTGGGGTCAAGTCTCTGAGATGGGCTCCGGACAAAGTTGCTGTCGGCCAAGACCCAGGGGATCACTTGCACCTGAAAACCACCCAAAGGTATATTAGCCCTGGCAGAGAGCCAGAGAGAGAGAGGCTCTTGTATGGAGAGGCACATGCTCTGGAGATGCTAAGGCTGGGGCTGCCGAGGCCCACACAGTGGGGGAGAAGGTGTTATCACCCAATCTGAGGCACACAGGCATTCAGCAAGCCACCCTCACCCCAACCCAAAAAGAGCTGAATTTTACTGAGTCCATGTGAAAATAAGTGGTAGAACAGCAGTCATTCATCCTGGAGAGCAAGCAAAACAGTACCAAACTGTTATACCCAGGAACCTAGAACTCTGTCACAACCTTCAATTGTGTGGTTTCAACAAAGGATCATGGACACTGATGAAGAGACAGCATGGTCTGGCGTCCTTGGGACAGGAAAAATTCATAGAGAAATTAAAGGACAGAAGCTTGAAGGAGAGAGGGTAGGGATGCTTAAGGTATTTGTATGAGGTGGTTATTGGCCCAATGTACACATTAGAGGGTTTGTGCCAGGAGCAGTGGCAATAACTGGAGAGAGGTAGGGTGGAAAGACATGCGCAGGAGAGCACTGAGGACTTGCGGAGCAGTGTAACACTAGGGCAGGAGTTGACCATGTCCTTTGCCTGTGACTCCCCTGATCGTAGAACAAAATCTGGCATAGCAGGCAGAAGACTCTACAATGAAGTGAGTTGACCAGTAAATGTTTTTAGAAGATTAATCTGTGAAGATCTAAAAAAGAAGCCTCAAAGCAGGATTTGAGGCAGAAACCAGCAAGGAGGCAAAAACAGTATTTCAGAGGACAGGTGATGAAGACCTGGAGAAAGTAAGTTGGTGGCTCTGGGCACAGAACAGGCCAAGACCAAGAAGATTCTTCAACAGAAGTGTCTCAAGAATTCAGACTGCCTGGCTGGGTATGGTGGGAAAACAAGGAAGAGTCAAGACTGAGGGGTTCTAGGGCTAGATGACCCTGCAGTTAGAGAACCTGGCAGAGGTTACCAGGGGGAGCCAATTTCACTGGAAGATGAAAAAGCCCACTTTGCTTTTTCCACACCCATGGGAAAGTATCACAACCTTGGTCTACATCCCAGGGGCCACAAGCTTTCTAAGCGTTTTCTTACACTAAACAGAAGAGTTTAGGATTACAGGACATCCCAAAGAAAAGCCCCACAGCAAGATGAGGCTCAAGGTAGAGACAAAACTAGAGAGGTGAGTCTGGGTCTAAAGGTAAGAGCAGAGCCACAAAAGTGAATAATTTATCTGAGTGGGAAAGAAGAGGAGGGAGTCAAATACTGACTACATTGGTGGTGGGGAAGGGGAGCAGAGAAGAAATAAGAGAGTCAGAGAGGTAGGAGAATGAAGGCAGCCTGTAGTCAATGCATCAAAGAAAGATATTAAATCACTGCAAGGTGATGAGGTGGGAAAAGGAGATAGGAAGGTGTCAGCAGGGGCAATGAGGACGGTGGGGGGGTCTGTGGTATGGCTATGGCAGCCTCTCATTGTGAAAGCAGGAGACACAATGTTAACTAAGTCCTAGAATATAATAAGGTGGGATAACTGCATGAGCTCCATGCAGCAAGAAAGGAGAGAAGGTAGGGAAGCTGTGGGTCACTGTGGGCAGCCAGAAGATAAACTTACCCTGTTACTAAGACAAAACGTGAACTAACACCAGGAAACATCTATAAAACAAAGAGCCAGCTTTGTAACATGGACTATTTATTTTAAATCCAATGTGACCAACTCAATAAAATAGGCATTTTTTCCCCTTACCCTATAGATTTTAATAGACTTTACTTTCTAGAGCAGTTTTAGTTTCACAGCAAAACTGAACTTAAAGTACAGGGTTCCCATGTACCCCCGGCCCCCACACATGCACAGCCTCCGCAACTATCAACATCCCCAACAGAGTGGTACATTTTTTACAATCACTGCACCTACACTGACACATCATAATCACCCAAAGTCCACAGTTTACATAAGAGTTCACTCTTGCTGTTTGTTGTACATTCTATGGGTTTTGACCAACATATAATGACGTCTTCACCATTATAGTATCATACAGAATAGTTTCACTGCCCTAAAAATCCTCTGTGCTATACCTCTTCATCCCTCCCTCCCCTGCTGATCTTTTTATTAAAAGAGGCATTTCAATTCCCCATTTTATAGATGAGGAAATGAAGTTTCAGAGATATTAAATATCTAGTCCAATGTCATAGAAGTGATGTGCCCTGAAACCAGATTTTAAAAAACAACACTCGTTCCTGAGCTCAAAACTTCCTTCGACAAGTGGTTCTCAAATACCATCCACTAGAATCACCTGGGGAACTTGGTTCAAGTGGAGATTCTTAAGCTGCACCCAAACTGATTCAGTAAGTCTGAGATAAGGCCCAAGAATATGCAATGAGGTTCCCAGGCAGGATAACTCAATGCTAGAAACCCATGATGCTAAGGGCACATGAGGCTGATACCAGAAAAGGTGTAAGAAGAGAGAATCATATGGAGAATACTACATAGCTAATACAGCCCTGAATGGGAGTGAAGAAGTGATCTATGGATAGGTGTGGGCTAAAGAGGAATTTACCCACCACAGATTGGGAGGTCAGACACAGCCTGAGGGCAGAACCAGGGAGAAAAAGCTATAGATTATCAGTTAAGTCCAAGTAGACAAAGTTGCTGTTTTCAATTTCATTTCTAAAACAAGGGGTTTGGGACAGAAGTGTTGGCTACAATAAGAAGTGCAGAACAGGGCTGGGAGAGAATTTGACCTCCATGGACAGGAGCACACATACACCATTAAGACCCAAAGCTGGTTGTTTATTTTAATGTAATTGAGAGCATTTTGTTGTATTTACTGTGGGGCAAGAGCAGCCTTCTTGCCTCAGTGGGAATACTCACCTGCAGCCTGCATATCCACCCACCCCAAGGAAACCCACTGCCTCATAAGCCAACTACCCTGACCCAGATGTGACATAATGCTAACTCACCTCCTTGCAGCGCATCCTTCGGCTCGACATCTTGAAATAATATTCACTCAGGCCATCTGGGCTCAGTGGGTCATGAGAGCAAGCCTGAAGCAAGGCCCGGACAGACTTCTCTAGTTCGAAGACCAGATACACATACCCTATTCCCAATGAAAGGAGAAACTGCATTAACATCCCTCAGGTGGCTGGCTACTCTTCGGTCTCAGTTTTGCAACAGGGAGTTTCTTCCAAGAGAGATGGCCTTGTGTGTAAGATACATTTTTGTCCTACTCCTGGAAAGTCTTGTTGAATGGAAGCACTTGCTATGCCAGATGCCCAGGCAAGGGAGGGAGAAGCGCACCATCTCCCACATTAGTAAGGGAAGGAATGGGCAAGGTGGACAGAGCAGCCCATCATTACCACACAGCTCTTTATCCCAGAACACAGAGCATATGTTCAGGTCAGCAAAGCTAGGCTTTCCTGGGGGCAGGAGGGATGGCAGACCTGTAGCCAGTCTGCCAGAGGATGGAGACATGGCTTTAAAAGCCTAGTTAGATCACTGGTTCAGTTCATCGGAACATTTTCAGTGAAGATGGGGCAGAATGAAAATAGCATCTGCTCCTTTCTACAGGGAAGAGATCTCATTTCAGACCAGTGAGGAATCAGATGCTTGGTCCTCATTCCTGCCAACTCCAAAGGGATCTCAGAATCAGGTCAGGCAACAACGTAACTGGGCAGGAAAGGCAGGCAAAGGAAAGATTTTCAAATGCCTCATTTTGAGAGAAAAGAAGCTGCTTAGGTTTGGAGTGAAGTACACAAGGAAATTTCACACAGGGGGTTTCAGAGGCAGCTCCAACTGCAGTGTGTTTGGACAAATGAAACATTAGCTCAGAGGAAACAGAGGGATGTGCTAGGTTGAAGAGAAGCACTGACAGCTGAAAGTTCTGTGCTCTGGAGTGCCCACACCATGTTACCAGCATGCAGCTGTGACATCCCAGCATCCCTCAGTGCAATATGTACTACAGAGGGGGAAAAAAAAGCTCCTACCATGTCTTTATTACCTTTAGGCATATTACCTTTGGGAGGACACCGGGGGTGCTTGCCATCCTTACCAGGCCACTCCACACTCAAAGAGCCAAACACACGGAAGGTGTTAACCAAGCCAGCTGCGAAGAGATGGAAAATAATGGCAGAAACTGAGGCACCATCTTCCCCAGGAAGGCACAGGCCCAGGATCACCAGCGTTCTCCCAGGTTCATCCCCCCTGACAAACAACTCAGAATTGACCTTTGGTCTCAGGTGACAAGTGTACGCACCAGACACAGAAGCACTGAGAGTCTACGAAATGCACCTCTCCCTTCAGCTGCTCCTGGAATACCCTGTGCTCAGGCAGAGGTTCAGCCCCTGGCCTCAAGTCCAAGTTTCATTCTCCTGAAAGACGTACCCCACCTTCAATGCTTGAAGCAGGTTGTCTCAGAGGCAGCTCACCTTCTGTAATATCCCAAGGAACACCTCCTAGGAACACCTTGCAAGAATAGATGGGGTTCTTGTAGTTCCGGGGAGGAAGCTGGCCACTCCAGGTACAGGTGGCTTCATTCACAGCTTTGGCAGAAGACAAAGAGAGAAACAGGAGTCAGACAACCAACACCGTCACTGCCTTTCTCCAGGGTGAACTTGTCCAGGAAGAACAAGACAGGCCACAGTCCTAGCCTGGCTGCCTGTAAGAACATCCACGACAATTCTGAAAGGCAAGAAACCTTAGACCTCACCAATCCAGTCAACCCAGTATGACAATCCTAATTCACTAATTCTGTCTCCACTAAAACTGAGAGGAATAGCAAACCAGATGTGTAGGGTAAAAATTATCACAACCCAAGCTATTTTCAAACATATAACTGATATGCTAACTATAAAAGTTTTAGGTAGTCATTGCTTACAATACTAATTAATTTAAATTTATAATCACTTAACAAGAAAGAGAGCAATTTTGTATACAATGTCCTTTCGACCACAGAAGTTAGGACACTTCCAATAAAAACCACCACTAGCAACCCAACAAGACAAGAATGTCACAAGTGTTCCCAAGTCAGAACTACACCCCATCACTGCCACAGCTATCCTTAGAGTACCTGAACAGACACTGGTGCCAATGCTGTAAGATGATGGATTTCCCCCCAACCCTCACAAACACAAGTATGTCCAAACTCACTGTGAAGTTTTCTCCGACTCTGACTCAAACACCTCTTTAAGAAACCCTTCTTGCTATATAGAATAGAACTATCTTCTGTTTGGCCTGCCCTGACAATTTCTAGAGGCCTCTCTGTTCTTGGTGACTAATTCAGCCTTCTATCAATCTTTAATCCTGTCCCCATTCAGTCTGTGCCTTTCCAGATCGGAGACTGACCTTAGTGGGGACTGGATAGTCCTTGCCCATTTAACTCTCCTCCTTCAGCACTGGGGCAGACAGCCAACGAAACAAACCATCATTTTCATTCAGGCAATGACATGGAAGGCCATTCTCTAAAAGGTACAGGCCTAATGTATTGCTACAGCAAAAAATTGGGCACTGTCAGCAATATTTTGCAAACAAAAACAGAAGTCGAGGGGCCGGCCCAGTGGCGCAAGCGGTTAAGTGTGCGCGCTCCACTGCAGTGGCCCAGGGTTCGCTGGTTCGGATCCCGGGCATGCACCGACACACTGCCTGTCGAGCCATGCTGTGGCGGTGTCCTATATAAAGTAGAGAAAGATGGGCACGGATGTTAGCTCAGGGCCAGTCTTCCTCAGGAAAAAAGAGGAGGATTGGCATCAGATATTAGCTCAGGGCTGATCTTCCTCACCAAAAAAAAAAAAAAAACACACAGAAGTCGATATAATAGCCTCATCCAGAAACATGGTAACGTCATTTCATAGGAAAACACTGGCACTAGAGAAGGTACAAAGATGGTTGCCAAAACTATTAAGTGAACAGGGCAGCAGCACTATTAGGGGAGAATGAGATCAGGTCTAGGTCTGTGAGTAGAAAGACAGACATATTGAAGCCTATGGAAACAAACTGAATGGAGAAACTGAACATTCACTTAGTCATCAACTCCAGACCCTTAGACTAGCAGTCAGTGAGCATCTCCCTGAAGCATTAGTAAACAATGAGTTATATAACTCATTTACTTCCAAGTACTGGTGTAAGATGAAAAAACATTTAACATGTATTTAAGATAATTTAAATGTCAGGACGTAAGGGTTCCTGAGAGACCAGGACACTTGGGGACATCCCTTACCTTAGAGGTTGACAAATGGACTACCCACCCCCCAGTGCATCCCTGAGTATACCAATCAGAAAGCCTTGAGGAAGAAAGCTCCAACATGGGTTGTGTCTGATATATCTTTGAATTAGAAAGGGAGGAGGTAGACAAAATTCTGGGCATCATTTCCAGGGTTTCTCTTGAAGATACCCATCCGTGAAAATCCAAAGCAACAGCAGCACACAGTCAATCTCCACATAAGAGCACAAGTGAAAGATGGATCCAACCCCTTATGAGCACAGCTCTGTGCACCAGATTATCTGCCTCTTTCCTCTCTGCTCAGCCTCAAAGAAGTTCCTGAGTTTGTCCCCACTAGCACTTACTCCACAGAACAGACCATTCTTTTCAGATCCAGAGACTTCACCGTGCACCCAAGTCCTCTTCTACACAGTTAATCAGTCTGTGAACTAAGGTCCCTTACTCTCTGCTCCCAGAATGAGGCCTCAGGCCCCACACGCATGCCCACAGCCACACTCACCTGCAGCTTGCCGGTGCAGCCTGGCCTCTCTCTCTATGCTGAAGGGGTCTTTGGGAGCTTCGAGGAGGTCCCAGGATGGCCACACAGAAGCTCCTGGCCATCTCTTTGATGCACTGGTTAGGGAGGGAGTGACTGCAGCAAGAGCAGCTTGCTCTTGGTCCATCCGGGGCCCAACCCCCATCTTTAAAGGGTCTCTGGGACCACTGCCTGTCAGAGACAGGAAGGGCAGAGGAGGGGAAATGCGAAGGCTTGACTAGGGGAGGAAAAAGGAAGATACAGGTTTTTAAAGAACAGTTTTGTTATAAAAGTAATAATCACACTATAGAAATTATGAAAAATACCATTTAGCCATTTGATATATTTTCTTTTAGACTTTCTTCCTATGCATTTTAAGATTAGTTGTCCTTATGCTATAATTTAAACAAATTCTTTTCTAATTCAACATTTTTTTCATATTGCCAGACAGTCTTCATAACCATTTTTAATTAACTTATGATATTCTATTTAGGGAACAAGCTACATTTCACTGACCTATTCCTCTGCTGTTAAACATTTAGATACTTTCAAGTTTTTTAGGCTTACAAACAAAAACTTTAAGGTGTATCTTATTTATATTTTGTGTTTTCTTTGGTCAGATTCCTAGATGTAGAAAGTCAAAATGCCTTCTATGAGGGTTCCACATTCTATCAGAAATGTATGAGAATACCAGTTTCACTACAACCTTGTGTGAAGGCTTTAAAATCAACTAAATTTAATTGGGTAGAAATGATACATTATCAAAAAAAAAAAAAAAGAAAAGAATTACTCAAAAGACTATTTCCTATAAATTCAAATACTGCCTCTATTTCCTCTTCTGTGAGTTGTCTGTCTATATCCCTTCATCAATTAATGCTTGGGGTGGGGTATCTGAGAAAGTTCTTTCAACAAAATCCCAAAATATTAAAGCTAGTTATGAGGTAAGTTTCCAAGACTGAGCCTATCTAAAGTAACAAACAGAACTAGAAGCACCTCATCTAACCCCATTTTATAGGGGAGTAAACTGCAGTCCAGAGAATCAAAGGGATCTGCTTGTGGTTACCCTTCTGGAAACACAGTCTGAAGTGATAAAACCAATGAGTAGTGGGAACACCAAATCCAGCTTTCCTATTCTAGGACAGGCTGACAGAAGACAAGATGGGTCCTAAAAGGTCATGCTATGAATGGGACACTGTAACCACAACCAATGTTGGCAGTCCTGGATATGAAAGACAAGAGGGTAGGAAAATAAGCCATCCTATTCATTAAACAGTCAGCTCAGGAGATTCAGTAGCAGAGAAGCCAGGCACACAAAGCACCTGAAGTCGTATTTTACTTTAGGATGATTTCTCACTGCCATTCCCAGATATTTACACTTCTATCCCCTATTCCTCATCTATTCTAATCCACTTGCCAACTCCACTTAGCATGGGTGCCACATGTCAAAAATGGCCGTAGATCAGGAGCATGAGATGTGTAAATTAACTCTGAGGCAGTATTTCACAGATTCATCATGGCCTCAGATTGAGAGTTGGCATGGGTCAGTGAAAAGAATATATAGGAGCTCGAGTCAGTCAGATCTAGACTAAAATCCTGGCCCTGCTAATTACTAACATGCGATTTTTAAAATCACTACTTAAAAATTTTGAGATGTCCTTCATAAAGGTACATAAGTGATATTGTTTAAAGACTAAAGAAAACCACAATGTAAGTTAAGAAACAGAACACTGCCAGGACCCCCATATGTACTTTTGAAATAACTTTTTCCCAGCAGCTCTTGGAGTAACTTGTAAAAAGAAAGTCCTAGGGCCGGCCCCGCGGCTTAGCGGTTAAGTGCGTGCGCTCCGATGCAGGCTGCCTGGGTTCGGATCCCGGGCGCGCACAGACGCACTGCTTCTCCGGCCGTGCTGAGGCCGCGTCCCACATACAGCAACTAGAAGAATGTGCAACTATGACTTACAACTATCGCTTGGGGCTTTAGGGG